GTATTCTGGTGATAAGCCATGTTGTGTGTAAACTCTATTTTTTCTGTTCAAAAAAAGATTGGTGATGATATTGATGAAATTAATGGGAATTTTTAACCAGAACATGGCTTTTTGAAGCATGTAAATGCTTACTCTGTCATATGCTTTGGACATATCTTGAAATAGAATGAATAGATTTTGAGAGGAGCATGATTCTTCAAAAGTTTGTTTCTTTAAGCCACAGATCTAGATGATTCCAGAATATTATTAACTATATAAAGTGGATCTATAGTTGAATTATGCAGAAGGCCTGCAAAGTTTAATCCTTTTAGAATTTGATATTCTGTACATATTTTGGATAATCGATTCGTTAAAAATTTGATGTAAATTTTTCTTGCTGTTTCTAAAAGAGTAATTGGCCTAGTATTATTGAGATCACATTACCATGGCTTGGGTTTGGGTATCAGATAAATATAAGCAGTTTCTATCTAGCAGGAATGTCTTGCAAAATTGTATAGATATGAAAAATTTTAAATAGCAATTTGAAAGCTTTAGTATTAAAATATTTGATGAGTTTATAAGTAATGCTTGAAGGTTCAGCAGCTTTATCGTTTGTAAAAGAGTTGATCAGTTGAATCCATTCATTAAAGTCAGGAAGGTCTAAGAGTAAGGAGTAGCAATTTTCATCAATATAGTCTAAACCATCGTAGTTTTATTGTTATAGATTTCAGGAAGGATGTGATTCTTTTTTTGAGTTTATTGAATTGGCTATTTTTTAAAAATGATCACTGGTATGTAAAAGAACATTAGAGGGATTAAGCTTCAAATATAGTTGATTTTGTTCATCTTTTATGAGAATCCTATCTAGTATAATTGATGTTTTTCTTCTTTCGAGACAGGAATCGATCATTGCCAATGGATTATCAGTGAAATTGTTTACTCATTGATATATAAAGAAGCAATACATTGTTTATCTTCTATTTTGTCCAGAAGTTTGATTTTTGATCTATATAAAATGATGGCTTCTTTGAGATTAGTTAGAATGTTGGAAAAGATTTACTATTATATGTTAGTTTGATGTTATGGGTAGGAATGTTTTGCTCTATTAATTGATTAATGATATTGATATATTTATTATGATTTATTATATTGAAATGTAGATTACAATTGTAATTTTTATAACATTGGTGATAGAATTTATTGATTTTGTTAAGAGATTTATAAAAAGATTGATGATTATATAAGAAGTCGATAGATCTTTGATTAGTGGTAGTGTGTTTAAGAAGAGTGTTTTGGGCTGCTTGAATAACCATACAGCTGAAGGAATCCAAAATGGAATTAAGATCATTATGAGAAAAAGTTTGAAAATCTACATTAAGAGAATGCAATAGGGAGTCATAGAAATTAAATTGTCTAATTTAGTCAAGAATTTATTACACATTTCTTTAGAAGTTTTATCATACAGAAATTTGGTTTTGGTCAATTTTTTTTGTTTAAGCGAGACATTATATTTCTGATGAAAGATATTATTTTTGTAGAAGAAAGAAACCAATAGAGTATGATCAGATTCGTAATTATATGAGTAAGTATTTAAAGAGGTTGAAAAGATAAGATCATGTGTAAGGAAAGAGGAGGAGAAAAGATAGTCAAGGGAAAAGGAAGAGTTTGTAGAAAAAAAGGTTGATAGATAGGATTGATTGAAAACTTTTAAATTGTTTATTAAGCCAAGGTTTTCAAGTTAAGTAGAAAGTATTGGTATCTTTTTTGTCTTAATGAAGAATATTTGCATTTTATATCAATGTTAAAATCACCTATAACAATATGATGATAATTTTTTGATTTAACTTCTAAAATTAGATCAAGAATCTTTTGTTGTATTTTAAGTCTATATTGATAATTGGAAGTAGTATGTGTATTAGAAGGAAGGTAGATTTGAATGATTTGAAGTTTTTGTTTGTTTTTTATTTGAAGGTCTATGAAAATGATTCTATCATAAAAGCCTTGATAATTAAAGATATGTTTAGAAATAGAAGAGTTGACAATAAAACTTACTTCTTGACAATTTTGTGAACGATTTTCGTTTAATAAAAAATATTTAAATAGAAAATCAAGTGATTTGCAAATAGAATAAGATTGTTGCATAGTCACTGAAAACATCAAAGTTATGAAGTGAAAAAATTGTTCAATTTGATTTTTTTTTGTTTGAAATACAGTTTCTAACGTTATGAGTTGCTATTTTAAAATTGTTATTCTCTTTATTTAGTCTGTAAAAGAGAGATATATTTGTTTGTTGTGTAATATTCATTAGGAAGTATTAGAATATGTTTGTAAAAATTGCATCATAGTATCTTTCATAATTTTGAGATCATTTTTGGCATCGCTGAAGTTATTTTGTAACATTGAAATTTGTCTTTCTTGTTAGTTGATCATTGGTTACGTGATGTAGATGAAGAATGTGATGAGATGGGAAGATGATTTTGAATAGAAACGAATTCGTTTGGAGAGGAATAATATTTTTCATTAAGAGTAAAATCGTTTGATAATGCATTATTAAATGGAGTTGGATTGCTGATATGTAGTTGATTTTCAATGGTTTCGACTCAGTTGATAGTGTGAAGTTAGATTTGTTTTAATTCAACATATGTGTTTTGAGTTTTGATTAATTCATCTTCCAGTAATTGAAATTTATTTTCCAAGGAAGTCAATTGTTTCATCATTGATTTAATAGCTGAGACAACAGTTGGAGAAGAGGTTTGATTCTGTTTGCCTTAATAGTTCATTTGATTATTATTTCTATTTTGAATAGAGTCAAAATAAGAAGGTCTTTTTGATTGATTATTTGACTCATGATTACGTGAAATATTAGGTTTTGGGGTAAAGGGTTAGGTTAGTATTGAGCTGGTTTGAATTTATCATAGAGAGGTTTAAAAAGATGAGGGTAATTATCACACGATTGAACCTCGTGATTTGAAAAGCCACAGGAATTATGATGTTAGATTCCAGAAGTAATCCAAAATAAGATATAATTTTTGAATTGTTGTTGTAAGTTAAAAGTGTTATCATAATCATCAATATTATCAAGTTAATATATGCATATAGTCTGAGACGATATTGTCTGTCTCTTTGGATAAAACATGACTTTGTTTTAATCTGAGTCAAAAAGTCAGAGAGATCTAATTGAGTGGTGTTAAAGGGGAGTCCAGTGAATTTAAGTTCAAATTGCTGACGAAGGGCAGTTTGAAATTTATTAATGTCAGTAGGTTCGATTCTAATTGAAAATTCCATTAATAAGATAGACCAAGTGGTATCATAAAATTGTTAAATGGAGTCAGATGATTCATATACAATAAAAGCAATTTGCTATCTCTAGTGATCATTGAAAATCTGCAGATCCTTTCATATTTTTCGAAAAAATTTTGTACAATGTCTGATTTTACAAATAAAGGAATATCATTAACTTTAATGCATTTACCTTTTTCATCATCTTTGCGTTGTTATTTGACATTAGAGTCAATTACTAAAAAGATTGGGTTGTGTTGAGTTTTTTTGACTTTATCAGTTGCTTATGTTAGGGAGTCTAAGGTATAAAAATAAATATAGAATTTCCTTTGTCTAGTGTTGTAATACAAACCCCTATATCTATCAAAGTGGCTAAAAAGTTTGCTAATTATGTAATGTTTTTCTGCGATTGAGAAACCAGTAATATCTTTAGTATCAGTAACGCATAAAAATGTGTTGGTAAGTAATAATGTTAAAAGATTCATTGTTAATATCATCATTTTTATCAGCGATGTATTGTTCGTAAGGTTTAAGGTCTTCATCTCAAGTTGCTTTCTTTTTTTCTTTGGTATCAGATGTTTAAGTATCTATGTTATTTGATAAAGGAGAGAAGATAGAGTTTGAAAGAGTAGCATGTATAGAGTTATTTGTGCTTTGGTCAATTAAAACAAGAGGTTGTGAATTGTTTATTTTCTTAATAAAGTCTTCTTTATTTTCTTTTAGAACTTTAGAAGTGATAACTGATATATCTGAGTTAATAGCTAAAGGGGTAAGAATAATGTTTTTGATAATGTTTTCTAAATTATTTGTAGAAAAAGAAGAAATTTTTTCATTTGTTTGGAATTTCAGAATCGAAATTGTTTAGGTTTTTGTTTGAGAGGTAGAAAGTGTGTTAGACGCATTTTTATATAATATCGTGATAATCTTCTTTACCGATTTTTCACTGATCTACTGATCCAATTTGGACAAATTTTAGTTTGTTAGAATCGCGGCACTGAGAAGAATCTGAATACAGTATCAGTTTTTGAGTAGTCGGCCTACTGGAAAATTGTTTCTACACTTAAATTTCATTAAGTAAGAATTTATAATATAGATCGCTAAATTACGCAAAATTAGTCTTAATAATCGCACTTTAAATTTTTACTGAATATTAGCTAGGTTTTGAGATTTAAAATAAATATAAAACTATATTTCTAGCATTCGTAGTTGGTGAGTTATAAGCTTTTAAAGGCAAGCAACTCTACTTGCGTTTCTTTTGTAAGTCACTGTAAGTACTCTTAGCTGAAATTATCACACCTCTGCTAGAATAGTTAGCCATTAAGACATTTTGCATAATATTATTTACATTTATTTTCTCATGTAATAATACCAGCTAACTTCAATTTATATCTTCAAACTTCTGGCCTAGAATGATCACTCTAATCTTCCGATTTCTGATCATACAGCCTGACTTTGGATATACTCAGAGATGATTTGGGATAATCATTAGTATTTTTTGCATATAATTTTCTGAGACAGCCTGATAGCAAATTTTTTAGTAATTTGGCAAAACTGTATCCATAATATATGATCAGCTGAAAAAATCTACATATTTTAAAGAAAGATAAGCTTTATTGATATAATGGCTGAACTACATGATTAGGTTTCTTAATATATAAGCTTCGAATCTAATGAAAATTCATCTTCTAATTACAGAAAAGGGTAGGTAGGTATTTTGTAAAATAATATCAAAACATGTGGGAATGGGAGATATTGTAATAGATAACTATTGATTTTTACTACAGCATGATTATAATATTAAAAGCGGTAATCAGATCCATATTGGATAGTTATTAGCATGTACAGTAGTTTACGCTGAAAAGATCTTAATAAATCTACCCAAAGATTTATCAGAAAAGGTATTAGCTTACATCGAAAAAAGATTTGAAGAAGTTCCACTTGCATCAGTACTTATATGGTAGTTGATTAGGTATTGAAATAATAAATATCTGACCTATTTATATATTTTTCATGTGTAAAATAATGGTCATTTTTTAAATTTATACTCCATATATCCTATATTTTTTTCCTAACTACGAACCATATAATTGCAAGAAATAGTAAAATAAATAAGATATATGATATCAATAGTGATATTAAGAAACTTGCAATAACAGGAATAGCTGATGCTAAAGGCATTACTTGGGTTGATGACATTACTTCTATGCCATCTAATTGCTTTACAACCCCTTTATTTCAAAATAAACTTTTCAAAATGTGTTGGTCAATTATGAACAGATTGATGAGTAGGATATCTGTCTGGCTTCTCGAAACCATCTCATCCTGAGATAATAGCTTTTACAAACTCTCTAATATATTTTCTCTGGCAAAACTTTTATTGAGTTTTATAACTTTATCTTCAAAATCATGCTTATAAATGAGAGGTTTAAATCGTTACTGATCCAATCTGATAGCTTTTGTGATAAATCGTTTATAGGTGGGATGGAGGATTGCTGTCAAGGCGTTTCGCAGAGAGATTTATTATTTCATTATCTTTTTTTTGAGATTATCTCTCAGAGATGAGAATTTTCTTCCATTAAATTTGATTGTGCTGAAGACAAGAAAGGAGTCTAATGCTTGTTTGTATATGCTATCTGATAACTTTTTCCCTTTTTCTATACATTTCATTTCATATTTTTTTGAAGACAAATCACCTCTCACCTTTTCTAATTTAAGCCTGAGGAAATCCATTTCAGATAAGTTTATTTAATTTAAAGAAGAATTTTTCTCCAATATTTTCAACTTAGATTAGAGAGCTTTTATTTCTTTTGAATTTGTAGCGAGTTTGTTCTTAGTTTCTGCAAAAGAAATATCTTTGCAAGTAATCTGAAAATTTAGAGAATTCATCTCTGATTGTAGTTATGATATTTCATCTATAAGCTGATAGATATAGCCAGAGAGTTTCCTATTATTGGTCTCAGCTTGTTTTAGATTACAGTGTAATTTGGCTTTATCTCGATTATTTCTTTTACTATAGTTTGAATAGACTGCCTGCATGTCATTATATTCATTGGTAAGTTCAGAAATGGATTTGATATTATTGTACAATATCTTCTCAATTTCTATTTTACGAACCTATCCAGGCGGTAGCCTGAACTAATATCTTTAAGGGTATGCACATTTTTCGAAACTAAAAATTCATCCTTTGTTTTCTTCCTATGGCTATTTTGATTGAGACTCTCAATTGAAATTTTATCACAGGATTTGAGGGTAGTATTTTTTATCGATATAAAATAATAAATGTCATTTCCATCATTTTTTATTGTTTTTTAACATTATAAATACAATAAATATTATTTTATATTGTTTTGTAACGTTTTATATCATTTTCTATCATTTTTATTATTATAAAATTACTGGAAAACTATATAGCTAACCCATTTTTACAAACTCATTATTGACGAGATGCTACTGATTTGACTCCTGAGCAAATCAAAGAAATTAGGCATCTCAAAAATAAGGCTTCTACATATATGATAGTGAGAGATTATCATATATATAAAGAGCGTGTCTATGATATATGGAATAATTGTAAATGGTCGTAACAGAGTAAAAAATATGAATTAGCAAAAATTCTTAGTATAGACAAAAAAGCAAAACTTCATACCTTCAATTCATCTTCAATACATTAGTCAGCTTGTTCGAGTCAACCGCAAGGTAAGCAAAAAAAGAAAGCATTAGAGTTTAAGTCTATTTATATTTCTGATGATTCATCAGAAATAGTAGGTGAAGACTTAAAAGTAAAAAAAGATACAATAGATATATCATCTGAATCATCTCCTAGCTAATCACTTATTATTTCACAAGATTCTGGAGATGTTTCAGAAATGCTTAAGAAATTAAATATTGAACTGAAAAAGATTAAAACAAAGGTTTATACTATTACATCTAGATTGGCAACTGAGACTAGCCTCATGATTATACAAATGTTATAGTATCCTATAATTTTCAAATTCATTTGGATACTGGTAAATAGCATTTTTTAGAACTCCTCATAACTCATTTTTTAATATATCATTCTCACTTAAGTCCTGCGAGTCCTGTAAAATACAGTCTGAGATCGAGAAATCATCACATTTGAGAGTAGTAGTTGCGCAGTTTACCTTGAGCTTATTCTTAACCTTATGTATATTATTTGTGATAAAAAATTTCTTACCATTACACTCTAGTCTCAATCTTATTTTGATGCAAATAAATCATAATTATATTTATCGAGAAGTGTGTTAGGTAAGATCAGCATCAGCTTAGGATATTTAACTATAGCAAAATCAGCATATATAGCATCTGAAAGTAAAATTTACTGGAATATTTCTAACAATTCCAAGTGAATCTGTGAGAGTAATAGCAATACATCTGAGATCATATTTTTCTTTTATATTAATTTCTAGCTTTGATCATTTAACTATATCTTCAGACATAATTGTGAAATTGATACCAGAATCAACTATATCCACCAGAATCACTAGACACCTAATTTTACACTTAACAGTGATAACATCTGTGGCGGTTTCTTTTTTTGAATAAAATCTATTTCTATGGAATTATCGATTTACTCATCATCTTCAGAATCACCTGATATTCTAGAATCACTATTTTATAGGTAAAAGAGGATTGTAATAGTGCTAAACTTTTCATTAAGTACCTTCTCAATAATTTTTTCAATAATTTTTTTAAGTAGAATTGTTCATTTTGTATCAGGATCTTTGAACTATGCTTTTCCTTCTTAGAGATAGGAATCAATGCTGAAGGAGGAGTTTCTATATCTTTTACCTTATGAGACTTGCGAGTCTTTGATTTTTTCTTCTGTAAGGAGGTAATAGGACTATACAGTCCCTTTGGGACCTGCTTTTTCTTCACTTTTTTTTTGCCTGAGATATATTAACATTAATTTCAGCTTCAGTCTCAGACTCTAATTTAGAAGAAGAACTCTTAAAGCTAGAAGAGCTATCCTCAGACTCTGATAAAGAAGCATCATTATTAAAAGAATCTGAATCTAATCATTCGTTTACTCTAGCTATATGAATTCAGCCACTTTTAAATTTTTTCTTCTTAGACTTATTTTTTGATTTCTTTTGCTTAATTTTAGAAGACTTGCAAGTAGATATACGACTACTTTTACGCTGAAAAGATTTTTTGACCATATAAATTTGAGGATCAAAGAAAGGTTCTTTCTTGAAAAGCTTAGCTTTAACATGAAAGGCATTGTTAGTTCCTAACCTTCTTTCTAATTTCTCATTGATATAAATATTGAGAGTTGAACTATTATATGTTTCAAGCAAACTTAGTGGTACACCTAAATGTTCTGCAAGCACATATAAATACTCTAACTTCTTTCTGTCTAGAGGCTTCTGAATACTTTGAGAATGTATCTGGTTTGTTTGAGCTATTTGCGCTTATAGAGATGTAATTTGAGAATTTAACTTCTCAATCTCAGCCGATAGATATAATTGAAAGAAGTGTGTATGTTGCTGGATTGCAAAAAGAATTGCTTCAGAAAGTAATTCAGTTTTAAATCTCTCAATCACTTCTAAAGATGATAAGATTTCATCAATAGGTCTATTAAGCCATATACGACAAACCTCCATTTGATTATCTGAAGAAAGTTCTTCAAGAAATTTATGGTGAAATTCATCATCTCCCATATTAGAATTTCTTGCAATCTTCTTGAGTTTGATGTAATAAGTACTCACAGAATCGCTTCCTTGCACTGTTATACCAAATAATGCTTGTTAATACTATTACCTAATTGTGTGATAATTTCTTTTAAAGTAATCAATTAATTGCCCGAGAGTGATATCGGCTAATACAACTGTTCTATTTGCTAAATTTGCATTTGATGCACACACAACTTTAGATGTTAACTTACCTCTTACTGGCATCTAATCTTCATTAAAAACTGTATGTTCAGAAATTACTAAAGCACTAGCACTAGCATCAGCTCTCACAAGTTGTGCATTAAGTCCAGCTGATGCTGTAAACGATAAATGTCTTTTGATTTGTATTTGTTCATAACCTTATAATTATACCAAAGTATGATTTACAGTAGTAAGAATATTGGATAATTTCCAATTTTTACCTGCTATCTCTCTTTCAAGCAATTCACTTACTTTACCTTTTAAGCATGACTTAAAATAGTCTAGTACATTGATCTTATCTGCATTATTTGCTAAATTGTCTCCAGAAGCAGTTAAATACCTTCTGAATTTATTGATAAAATAGTCAATATCTTTATTGTAATTTCCACTAAAACTTGGCGATATATATTCTACTATACATATACATTGTATATTAGGTGAGTTATTCTATAATGCCAAAATTTGTTGTTGCAAATTTAAAATATTTTGGTCATGAGCCTGAACTTGATTCTGCAAATTCTTATATTGTCTCTTCCAATTTTATGCTTGGTAAATGCAACCTGCATGCCTTTTTCTCTAGCGTTCTGTATTATTTTATAGCGTACTATTAATTTATATTCATTTCTCCTATGCTTAGCAATTTGAGTATCTTTATGCTAAATTAATAGTCAGTAGACAAATTTTTATGTAACAATTTACTAATACGCTTTGAGCCAATTGTCAATACTCTCTATGTGCTTTCATTTTATTATTTAAAGCATCTGTATGCATTTGTATAATTCTTTCGACCTGGGTTCAGGATTCATCTAACAAATATTATAACTATAAATTCTGATTTTCACTATCATTTAACTAATTCCTAAGATTATCTACTCACTGAATTGAAACATGTAATAAGTTTTGATATTGATCACGCTCAGTTGTAATATTTTGCAAAGTAACCAGAATAGTATTTAAGGAACCTCTAATACTATCTATAATATTGCAGAATTTTGCGTAAGCATATCAACACCTCTAATATAATTTTCTATCTGCTCTAGTCCTTTATTAATATTTGTGATAAGATTAGTTGTTGTCATATCTAAATTATCTATTGGAATTTTTATCTATGAGAATCCAGATTCTTGCCTTAAGACACTCTACCTTATGTTCAAGTTCTATGATTCAGCCATTTTGAATAGACCCAACCTTATCTTTGAATTTTTTATCTTGTTATAAGATGCTAAGCTGTTTTCGCAAATCAGATATTTCTGATTTAAGTTTCTCTATCTCTTTTTTGTAGACTATGAAGTATTATCCTATAATAAGATAATTCAATAACATTGCTAAAGCTCCTTCATGAGAGAGCAAACTTTTTTCATTGCTCTTATTAATAAAAATCTTATCTTAAAACTTAGTATAAAGCTCCTGATTCATATCTAAAAACTGTGAATATGTCAGATCAAACATGATATTTCATCTAATTTATAGTACCATCATAATAATCTTACCTTGAGAATAAGCCAACCGCAAATTATGATAGATTCTGATATGGCACAGAGAATTGAAAAAATCTCATATTATGTAAATTATATTATCATATTATTCCAATCCTAAATCTTTGCTGAAAGCGCTTAAGGCAAGTGATACGTGTAAAAAAAAGGGCATCAATTTCGTCTAAATAAATGTAAAAATTTTTTAGAAAAAAGGAGTTATACCAAATCAATAAAACCTCTTCAAAATACATTTCTAGAGCTAGCTATAGGTAAATAATACGCTCCAACTGTGTACATTAAGCTGATATATTATTTCTTACCTATAATCATTATAGAGGTAGACCTATAAAGCTGTACTTAATATAATAGACTGTGCCTTCTGATATAAAGCTTTTGTTTTACTCACATCAAAGAACAGTTCAAAAGTTGCTAGAGCATTTAGAAAAATTTACAATGATTCTAGTAATCATCTTACCTATCCTAAATTACTTCAAACAGATAATGGGTAAGAATAGATAAAAAAACTACCTAATTAATGCAAGAGCATAATGTCGTAATTCAAGTGTTCAGCTCATATAGTCACAAAAGAGTTGCATTTGTAAAGCGTTTCAATCAGACACTCTCAAAATTCTATATAAGATCCAGTACATTATTGAGTTTATATCTTCTGATTCAAGATTAATAAGAGCATGGGTTAGGTATTTGCCAGAAGCTATTGATTATCTGAATAACTATCTAACGTATCTTATTCGAGAACTGGGATCAAAAAAGTGGGAACTTAAACCTGTGAAAGCAATTGCTTTAGAGCGAGTCAAATCTAAACCACCTACAAAATATAAGTGTCCAGTTGGAAAAGATAAAATTATGTTAAAAAAAGGTAATACAGTCCGCTATCTACTTGCCAATGCAGAATGGGAAGGGAATATGAAAAATCAGAAGAGGGTAACTGATCCTATTTTCTCACCTTCTATTCATAAAATTTGAAAAGTTGTTGTCATAAAGAATAATCTGGGCCAACATTGAGCGTACTTTTCTAATTAAATAAAAAAAACAATTAAAATATATCTTAACATAAAAATTCAATAATAAATTAATGTATATACACTAAAGATGGTGCAGCAATTGATTTTAAATTTACAAAATGTTGCAACATAAGCTAAAATTAGTTGCAACATATGTTGCAATATTATAAGTTGCAACATATATAAGTTAAAACTAATTGCAACGTAAGTTGCAACATTAAAAGTTGTAATATATTAATTACAGTTCCCATCTTTAATATATACAATTTTAATTCTACACCTAATGCCTAATTTTGGAAATATACTATCTGATATATAATTAACAAAATCTGATAAATAAAATTCAAATTTATTTATATGCAAATAGTTAACAATTTCATAACATATGTCTTCATCATCAAGAAGACTTTTAACTTTAATATGTTTTTTACGTATTGAATAAAGATGGGAACTGTAATAAATATGTTGCAACTTTTAATGTTGCAACTTACGTTGCAATTAGTTTTAATCTATATATATTGCAACTAATTTTAGCTTATGTTGCAACATTTTGTAAATTTGAAATCAATTGCTATACCATCTTTAGTATTGAAATAGGAATTTCTTGATTTTGTGCCAACATATGAGTTTACTTTTAAAGTTGATGAGCAAAATATTTACTTTTACCCAATTGTTATATAACAAAAGGCTAGCTTTCATTTTTTTAATATTTAATTAACAGCATTGACAATATTGAAGTACAGCTTCTAATCACCATTTTTGTTCAGATAATAGAATCCTATTTTGAAGATTTTTCTATAAAAGGAATTAACTTTTTTAATTCAATTTTATTATCAAAATTACTTTCTATTTCTGATTCCGTAAATGATGAATTGATATCATCATGATCTTCTGGTTTGTCTGTTCGTATATCAGGTTCATTTTGTACAGGAAAAAAAAAGTGTAATAGTATTGCCATTTTGTATGACCATTTTCTTTGCAACTGCTTTGAGCCTTTTTTGGGTTTGAACACTATTACCTATATATCGAAGTGGTCATTTAGGTTTGATATTTTTTGTACTGAAAACAGCTTTTTAATACATTTTCAGGTTTATTATCAAGTTCAGAATCTGCTCATATAACCTTATCATCAGAAGATATTTCAGAATCCTTTTCAGATGAAGAATCCTCTTCAAATGGAAAATCTTTAATAATAATCAGCCTATCCCTTAAAGATATTTGTACTAAATGTTTCTTTTGCTTTGACCGATGTCCCATTAGATGAAGTTTGATTTTCATTTTTTTTTCTCCCCCCTTTTATAAAAAAAAAAGATGTGCAAATTATACACCAATAAAATTTAAAAATTTCATGTAAAAATTAGGAGCTGGGTCATTTTCTCATTAATTTTCATTAAAAAATTGAAAAAAAAAGAAGAGGTGCCAAAGTTCTTATAGTTAATGCCGCACAAAAAGAAGCTGTTAAAAAAAAGATTAAACTTTATTTAAATCAAAGTTAATCTCGATATAGTTTAGTTCGACTTTTCAGAGCCACACGTGATTGAGCAATATAAGATTAGCCAATCATTTTCATTTATTTCGGGTGCCAAATTCACAAAACATATTAGAAATAGGTCGACTTTAAATTCTTATTTCTCTCAAATTAGTAATTGAATTTTAAAAATCTCTTCATTAATTTAAATTACAGATTACAAATAATATAAAAATGAAAAGGTTTTATTTAAAATATTAATATTTATTTTTTAATAACAGATCGAACACTACCTATAAAATTTACCGTGACTAGACGATACGAGCCAATAGGAGAGTTCCAGAGTTTCTATAAATCACGAGATGATCGGCAAATTAGATTTCGGATTTTTTCTTTAGCCGGATATAGCCTAACGAGATTTCGGGAAATATATTAATAAATGCATAAACCCACACATCATCATCATCATCCACATCCACGTCTATTTCTTCAGTTGATGGACAGATAGGACATAGTTTGCGTGGATTATCAATGCAGGCATAGTGCACAATATGTTTACAGGTTAAGTATACGAGAGGTTTCGGAGGCTCTTGAGGTTGAAGGGGGAAACGAATAGAGCTTACGGGTGGAAGCCATGAAGAAAGGTCTTCGGAACATTTGGCGCACCTTAAATAACTTTTGACTGGTTGGGATCCTGTATTCTCAACCCCCTCCATCCGTAAGATTGGCGAAGATAGGATAGCTAAGCTTTCATTCATCCTGTTGGTTAAGTTCACTTGATTGGGATGGTGACTCCTGATTAGTAGGAAATGGTTCTATGATATCAACATTTTTTCCACAATCAGGAAATGGGCATGTATTCGGCATGGTCAGCAGAAGCTTTTTCTCAATGCATATCCTGTGAAAGGTGTGGCCACAACTGAGGATAGTAATCGCTTTCGGAGGGAGTGTTATAATTACATTATTACATTCTGAACATCGGTCTAGCTCTGGAATTTCTTTATCTCCAAGGAT